TGTCCCAACCCTGAAACTTGTCTGCTGAATGTCGGAAGATCTTGAGGACCCAGTGGCCCAGAGTTCTAGGACGACAAGAGGGAGGTTTTGCTCCCTCCCCACACACACAGCAAAGATGTTCCCAAATGAAGCCTTTTCCCCCAGCCTAAGATTTAGTGCTCAAAGGGATGAGTGAAAAATCACTTGGACCTGTGTTTTCTAGGTGTGAGGCGATCGGAAATGCGGGTGAGCCCCACGCCTCTCACGGCCATGAAGCACTGGGACCGCCCCACCTGCCTGGGCTTTGCTTATTTCACAGAATCATCGAATTGTAGAATTGGGACCCCACCCGGTCATCTAGTCCAACCTGCTACAATGCAGCGTGGCCAAGGCTCAGCAAGGCCCAGAAGCTGGTGTGTCTATAGGAGTTTGGACTATTTGACCCCGGTGTCCCTTCCAACTGCACAATACTGTGATTCTCCCTCTTCCGCCTGGCAAGCGGGGCTCCACGCAGCAGCTCAGCACCAAATAAACCCCCTAACAGAAATCTGATTCTTCTTGCTGCCCATTTTTGCAAAGGAGGGTTTCCTGGCCACTCGCGTCCCGCACCTCCCTTCAATATGCAACGCTTAATACGAAACGTTTCGTGGCTTGCCTCTATTCTCATTTTTCCGTATCTCTTTGGGCAAAACTAGCTGGCTGCAGAATCCTCACTGTGCCGATCCAAAACCAAAACCGGGCTTCCTACCCGGTGAGCAGGGTCAGGATTGCAGGCTTAGAAAATTAGGTTCTTTCGGGGGCAGCAGCAAGAGAACCTGCCGTTTGGAGGTGGCCGGCAAATGAAGCTGCAGAGAGCTGTTCCAGATGCAATTCAGAAGACACCTGAAGGCTGTTCAGGGAAGTTTTTAATGTGCGACATTTTTATGTATTTTTAATCTTTGTTGGAAGCTGCCCAGAGTGGCTGGGGAAACCCAGCCAGAAGGGCAGGGTATAAATAAAAATTATTATTATTATTATTATTATTATTATTATTATTATTCTATGAGCCACGTGGTCAGGGAAGGAGTGAGTCCCTCCTGCCCTCTGTGGCATCAGCCGGGCCCAAGAGCGGCCGACTTCCTTAACAACCAAACAAACACACAGCTCCTTCAGGCAGGAGAGTCGTCGGATCGCAGCACATCTGGTTCCCATAAAAGCAGCCGGGACAACCCAAAGGTCTTTAAGCAGAGGCTTGACAACCATATGTCAGGAGTGCTCTGATGGTGTTTCCTGCTTGGCAGGGGGTTGGACTCGATGGCCCTTGTGCTCTCTTCCAACTCTAGGATTCTATGACCCTCGCATCGCGGTGGAAAAAGGGGGTCGTTTTGGGGGGCACACTTTTGTACTGGGGGTGCCTCTGTTTGAGCTCCCAGGAAAGAGAAACCAGGGCAGAGAAAAGCACTTATTCACACAGCACACGGTTAACCTCTGGGACTCCCTGCCACAAGGGGCAGAGATGGCCACCAACTTGGATGGCTATAGAAAAGGATTAGACAAATTCACGCAGGAGGAGTATTGATGGCTTCTGGCCAGGTTGGGACAGCAATGCTTCTGAGCACCTGTTGCAGAGAAACATTTATCTATTTTATCTTCTTATTTATATGTCTGTCTGTCTGTTTGTTACTAGATATTTATATTCCACCTTATTCTCCCTGGTCCTAAAGGTAAAGGGACCCCTGGCCATTATGTCCAGTCATGAACGACTCTGGGGTTGCGGTGCTCATCTCGCTTTACTGGCTGAGAGAGCCGGCGTGCAGCTTCCGGGTCATGTGGCCAGCATGACTAAGCCGCTTCTGGCGAACCAGAGCAGCGCACGGAAACACCGTTTACCTTCCCGCCGGAATGGTACCTATTTATCTACTTGCACTCTGACGTGCTTTCGAACTGCTAGGTGGGCAGGAGCCGGGACCAAGCAACGGGAGCTCACCCTGTCACGGGGATTCGAACTGCCGACCTTCTGATCAGCAAGCCCTAGGCTCTGTGGTTTAACCCACAGTGCCACCCGCATCCCGCTCCCTGGTCCTAGTCCTCATTTAATCCCCACAACAGCCCTGTGAGGTAGGCAGGCAGGCAGGCAGGGCTGAGAAAGGCTGGGACCCAGGGTCCCGCCCTGCAAGAGTGATGCAAAAACCTGGTCGACACGAAGAGAAAGTCTCCACGTACCAAGTTATCTTGGCTCGTGTCACCTAAGGCAGCCGGTGCCTAAGCTGAGCTGTATCATCGCCGACGAACCGCCCCGCAATAGCGAGATGTGCAAAACCGAAGCAGGCTCGCTGCGTGCGGAATCAGGGATGCAGCAGAAGCCAGAACTGGGAAGTGCAAAATGTTCTGCAGGTCTCCGAAAAACAGAGTGGCTGTTCAAATGAGTTGGCCTGAAGGAGTCCGCAGTCCATTTATAGCTGGGGCTGAAAGGTGATTTTTTTCAGGGTGCCAGTGAAGTAGCCATGGGCAAGCCAAGGAAGGGGTCTTAAGATTTTGGGGGATATGAGAAGGGGGGTCTTCTCAGGGCATTGTCAGATTGTGCAAGGCAGTAAGTCACCAAACAATTAAACCCCTGTGTTGCAAACAATCATCAGTAATATCCAAGGCAACACGATGACCAAGTACAACAATGCAATGTCGATATAAACCCTTTATATAACCTTTACAGAACATTGAACGGTATGAAACATATGAAATACGCACTCTCTGCAAAACCAAATCAACAGAAATCTTATCTCTTGTGCACTCTTGATGGATTCTCTTGAAAACATAGAACCCAATAAACATAAAAGTCTCTGAAAGTCTTTCTAGACTATGCAAGTCTCTGAAAGAAGCAATGGGTCAGATTCTTATCTGGTGAAAACAAGCCGTAAAGATGGCGCAAAGCAGCAGAGGATGGGGGCCGCCTGTCAGGGATGCCTGCATTGCAGCGGGTGGGACTAGATGACCCTCAGAGGGCCCTTCCGACACTTACATGATTTTCTCCGAGTGGATAAAACAGCTCAGAGCTGTCTCCCCAGGGCAGGAGGAGAGGCTGGGGCTGAGGCACACTTTCCACAGCGGTGTCTCAACCGGGGGGAAGTACAGAAAGGGAACTTTGGATCGTCGTCGATTGCGCCCAGTTCCTCATTGAAAGTGGTGGGGGGAACAGCAGAGGCTCACGGCTGAATCAGCATCCCACGGGCCTGGGCAGCCGGCGCCAACCTGGCGCCCTCCGTCCCCCCACCAGCCCCAACTGGCAGGGGCAGATGTCAATCATCGAAGTCCCAGGCCGTCTGGAGGGTCCTAGGATAGCAAAGACTGATGCGAACAAAGTGACTTAAGTTTGCTTTTTTAAAAAAAAGCAGGCGGGAGTTGACCGATTTCACGGAGGAGGAAAGAGCTATCGCCGCACATGATAGCTAAATGGAGCCTCCAGGCTCAGTGGCGCTCTACCTCTCCGGAACAGGACAAAGAACCAGGGACCAGAAGCAACCGAGGGCAGACATGAGGGTTTTGGGATTTTATTTCCCCAGCAAAGCTGCCCCAAAGGAGCAGTTGCATTTTGCAGCACCAGCACGGGGTTGGGCTGGATGACCTCTGAGGGGCCCTTTTCACACCGTGAGTCAAGGCTTCCTGCTGCTGCTGCCACCACCAGCAGATCTCAAACTCTGTGACTCAAGGAGGTCCTTCCCAGCCGTGGTTTCCAAGCAGCTCACACGTCAACCGGCTGGAAAGTCCCTCCCATTGAGAACATCTCGCTGGAGAAACTGAGGAAATGGCCCCCTTGGGAGGCTCCGGGAGGTTTGGGGCATGAGAGGGTCATGGAGCAGCTCGGATCGAGGCCACCACAACGGATCCAGCTGAATCAAGCCAGCCTCAAGGTGTTGGTTCCTCTGCCCCTTCAGGACTCCCGTTCAGCCTCACACCCAGCCCAAATCTCCAGGCAAAGGACCACGGCTGCATGGTGGAACAACTGCCCTGCATGCAGAAGACCCCTTGGGGTCTCCAGCTGATTTGGGACTACAATTCCCATCATCCCTGGCTGCCGGCCCTGCCAGCTAGGGATGATAGGAGTTGTAGTCCAAAAACAGCTGGAGGCCCAAGGTTGGGGAACACTGGCTTAGAGCATCAGAACAGGGCCTGGAAGAGACCGGAGTTCGAATCCCCCACTAGAGCTCACTCGGTGCCATCATGGGCCAGCCACTCACTGACCCTCACCCTGTCCTACCTCGCAGGGTTGTTGCAGCAAAGGGGGGGGGAGCCCTGTAAAGCCACCTTGAGCTTTTTGGAGAAAAGATGAGCTATAAATGCATAAATAAATGCAAGAAAAAGTAAACTGACTGCTCCGAACAGCAGCATCTGCTGGTGGGGCTGGCAGTGCCCCCCTGCCTGAACCCCTGGCCAGCTGCTGCCAGTCAGTGCAGACATTACACAGCTCGAGGGAGCAATCCTCTCCCTCCTGCCAACGACCCCCAGAGACGTCGCTGAAACTTCTCCATTTGGCTCCGCCAGAACCCATTCAAAAAATGCCGGGGAAGACACGTGACACAGACCGACCCCCGCCTCAGGACTGTACCATCTCAACATGCAAAAAAAATGGGGGAAATTTACCTGCCCAGCTGTTCCCAAAACACACGTGTGCGCCCGTGCCCACGGGCGGGGAAAGTGGGTCGTGTGAACGGGCAGAAAAGACGCAGTTGGGAGCCGAGTTGGGAAACTTGGGCACGGGCTCAGCCACCCCCCTCCCCGGGATCTACTCGCGAGTCAGCCCCGATGAACCCGGTCCCTGAGCGCCAGAGGGCGGCTGGCGGAGCAAGCGGGGGTCCCCTCCTCCCGGCGCCCCGGGATCGGGAAGAAGGGCGACCCAGCCCATCCCGGCGCGCCCCCAAGCAGCGCGCCCTCTGCCCATGCCCCGGGGCGCCCTGCCCTGGCGGAGGAAGGCGCCTCTTCCCGGGCGCGCCTTGCGCAAAGGGAGCCTTGCGCGCGGGGTTGGCCCCGTCGGGGAGCCGGAGACCCACCTGGGCGCATGGCGCTCGGCCGGCCGGGCGGCGCCGCCGTCGCTGCTGCTGCTGCTGCTGCTGCTTCTCGTCGCCTCCTCGGAGGAAGTGAGCGCGGCCGGAGGAAGTGTGCGAGGAAGGGGAAGGAGCAGAGGCTCGCTCGACGCCGCCGCCGCCGCCGCCGGGGAAGGGGCTCGGCAAGCCGGGCGCGCCCCACCCCTCGACGGCGCCCGGCCGGACCTGCCTCTCCCGGGGCGGGCGCAAGCAGCAGCCAAGGCAGCGGCTGGACAGGGATCGGGACCGCCTCGGCCACGCCCGCCCCGGATCCTGGACCCGGACCACCCCCGCGGGTGGCGGCCGGCAAGCAAGCAAGCAGGTCCCTGCCCCGAGGAACTTGCCTTCCGCCACAGGGTCGTGGCGTTGGAAGGGACCCCCAACCCCAGGGGTCATTCAGTCCAACCCCCTGCAAGGCAGGGATCGCAGCTGAAAAACCATAGAATTTTGTGTGGGACCTCCAAAGGTCATCTATTCCAACGCCCTGCAATGCAGAAATCTCAAGTACAGTGGTACCTCGGGTTAAGTAATAATAATAATAATAATAATAATAATAATAAATAATTTTATTTATATCCCGCCCTCCCCAGCCAAAGCCGGGCTCAGAGCGGCTAACATCAAATTACAAAGTACTTAATTAGTTCTGGAGATCTGTTCTTAACCTTAAACTGTTCTTAACCTGAAACACCACTTTAGCTAATGGGGCCTCCTGCTGCTGCCACGCCGCCGGAGCACGATTTCTCTACTCATCCTGAAGCAAAGTTCTTAACCTGAAGCACTATTTCTGGGTTAGCGGAGTCTGTAACCTGAAGCGTCTGTAACCCGAGGTACCACCGTAGATCATACATGGGCGATGGCCGTCCCACCTCTGCTGAAAAACGTCCAGTGAAGAACTACCAATGAAAGAAGGACTGGAGGATGAAACTGATGGACTATGCAGAATTAGATAAACTAACAGGAAGGATTCGAAACCTGCGGGACCAGATTCTCAGAAGACTGGAGTAAATTTACGGACTGTTTGAAGAGCAATTGTGAGGAACAAATTACACTAGTAGGTTTGCAAGAAGTTTTGTAAGGTGTGTTATTTGAAATATTGCAAAAAAGATAATGAGGAGAATTATTAGTTAAGGATAATTAAAGGTAATAATGAAATTCAGAAATGCATAAAAAGTGATAAAGAATGGAAAACCATCAGAGGTGTTGACAGAAGTCCAAAAATATTGCGTAAGATGAGAAGTTATGTTGTATGAATGTTGGAACTAATATGTTAAAAAACTAATAAAAATGTGTGTGTGTGTGTGTGTGTGTGTGTGTGTGTATAACGTCCAGTGAAGCAGAACCCACATCCATTCCACTGCTGAATCGCTCTTACTATCAGAAACCGCTTCCATAGGCGCCGACTCCATGGGGCCTGAGGGGGCCTGAGCCCCCTCAAAAATTTTATTGGGGGGGCTCCGCCCCCCCAATAATTAAAAAAATTATTGCGCGCCTTGGCTCCCTCGTCGCGCGCCTTGGCTCCCGCGGCCGGCGAGGGGAGCCCGGGCCGCGCGCGGCTGCTGCTGCCGCCTCTCCTGGGGGCGCCGCCTCCCCGGGCGGGAACGCTGCGGGTGCGCGAGGGAGGAGGGCGGCCCCCGGGGGCTGGGAGAGCCGGGCTGCCGTGGCCGAGAGGGCTGCTCTGCCGGGCGCCGCTGACATAATTTAAGCAAATTATCGCGCGCCTTGGCTCCCGCGGCCGGCGAGGGGAGCCCGGGCCGCGCGCAGCTGCTGCTGCCGCCGCCGTTTGTGGTCATGGCGGAGCTGCCGCCTAGGGAGGAGGGGAGAGGGGGCTGGCGGGGGGGGGGAAGGCAGTGAAGGGGGCTTGGCTGCGCTCTCTCTCTCTCTCTCTCTCTCTCTCTCTTCGGGCTCTCTCTCTCTCTCGGGCTCTTCCCGCCCAGGGCTTGTGGGCATCTGCTCTGAGACGAAGATGGAGGTGACTTCCCTTAAAGGTCATGGAATCATAGAGGTGGAAGGGACCCAAAGGTCATCCAGTCCAACCCCCAGCAATTCAGGACTCACAGCTAAAGCATCCCTGGCAGATGCCCCCCCCCCGACCTCTCCCTAAAAGCCCCTTCCCCTGTCTGACTGCTCTCACCACCAGAAAGGCCTTCCTAATGTTTTGTGGGAATCTCATTAAGCCTACAGAGCTATATATGCAAATGGATCTACTTATTCTTTCCCTTGAAGATACATTGATTCGTTTGTTACTGTGGTTTCGATCAATACTTTCCAAAGATCTTTACATTTGTCCATGCATGATCTTTGTCTGAAAGCTCATGGGTTGCAGGAGTTGTCATAGGAGGTTATATTTTTGTCCTTCCAACTGTTATGGAAATTACAGGGGGGGGGACATCTTTAAAGTTGTTAAATGTTGCAAATATTATGCCTGAATGTACCCTTTCAACTTGACAGCTCAGGGAAGTTACCTAGATAAAATCCTGTAACACAATGTATCAGCCTTAATCATTTTGCAGATGTTAAGGGGGGGGCAGAGCCTGCAGCCACCATCCCTTTCCGGTGGGGAGGGGGCAGAGGAAAGACAGGAAGCTTTTCCCTGCAGAGTTAGACCCCTTGGCTGCGTGGCCCTCGGGTCCCTTCAAACTCCTGGGCGTTTTGCTGTGGGGGGGCCTGGGCGATGTCAGAAGAGGAAGCTTGCAGGCCTGGTTGTCTGTTGGGGGCAGCAGGAAGAGGCGGAGGGCAGGATGTGCAGCCCCTGCCTGGCTTTCCTGTGGGACCAAGGAAGCGGCTGGGGGGGGGGGACTTGGCCGCTGGCCTTTGTTGCGGAGGCGGCAGTGTGGGAACGCCAGTCCCAAGGGCAGCCTCTGGGGTCTGGGTGCTGCTGCCTGTCTCCTGCCATGGACTTGGCGGGGGGGCTGTGCTATTGGGCTGGCAGAGACTTAACGGGGGCTGCCTCTCCCAGCCAAAGCTGACCCACAAAATTGCAACCCAGTGTGTGTGTTTGTGGGGGGGGGGAACCAGCCTGCACAGGGTAAGCCCCGATGGGGCTCCTGGGCTCCTTCTGATGCATGAAAATTGGAGGTTGTCCTTTACAGCTCAGCTCCCCAAGGGGCTCAAAGCCTCCCAAATCCATTATCAGTCGGAGACGAATGAGTGGAAGCTGGAAGAAAGGGGGAATCTTTATTTTTCTGTTGAAACAGAGCCCTCCTTCCCACTGACATTTGCAAGGAGGGGAGGACCCCAAACAAAGGTGTGCAGCAGCTTTGAAAGACTTTTCCGGCTCAACATCAGGAAGAGCTTTCTGACAATAAGAGCTGTTCAGACGGTCTCTGCTCCCTGGGAGAGGCTAGGTGGCCATCTGTCAGGGATGCTTGAGCTAAGATTCCTGCATTGCAGGGGGTTGGACTAGATGACCTTGGGGTCCCTTCTGTCTCTATGATTCTATGATTAGCATAATACAAGCATCTCAGGAAGAGGCATCTACCAACAGAAATCGAAGAGTGTGGCTTCTCTCCTGTCTGTCAAGGGACCTGCAGATGCTGATTGCCTTACTTGGCCAGTTCCTTAGGACTGGTACATACAGTCATACCTCGGGTTACAGATGCTTCAGCTTAAGCATTTTCAGGTTATGGATGCACTGAAACCCAGAAGTACCGGAATGGGTTACTTCCAGGTTTCGGCACTTGTGCATGCGCAGAAGCGCTAAATCACAACCTGTGTGTGCGCAGACGCAGCAATGTGAGTTGCGAACACTGCGGGTTGCGAACGTGCCTCCCACATGGATCACGTTCGCAACCCGAGCGTCCACTGTACCTTGGTTCTCGAACAGAATGCGTTCCGGGAGTCCATTCGACTCCCGGAACCATTTGAAAACCAGAGTGCGGCTTCTGCCAGAGGAGCCCCCTGCAGCCAATCGGAAGCCACACCGGATGTTCGCCCTCCAAAAATCATTTGAAAACCAGAACACTCACTTCCGGGTTTCGATTGTTCAGAAGCCGATTTGTTTGGGAGCCAAGGTGCTCGGCTTCTCAGGTACAACCGAACCTGAGTCCTTGGGGGCACCGCCTCCCCAGGCGGGAACGCTGCGGGTGCGCGAGGGAGGAGGGCGGCCCCCGGGGGCTGGGAGAGCCAGGCTGCCGTGGCCGAGAGGGCTGCTCTGCCGGGCGGCGCTGACATTGGAACTTAGAAAACTTCCCGGGGCAGGACCCCGGTATGGGCCCCCCCAATATTTTTTATAAGTCGGCGCCCCTGAGCGCTTCCAATAGCTTGGTTGCCATCTCCTTTCGAAAACAATCCAATCTGTTGAGACAAAACCCCACCTCACTCCCCCTTCCAGCACAGGACAGAGGGATGAGGGCAATGACCTTGGCCCTGGTTGGAATTCGGAGCAGGAGTGCCTCTGGATGTGGAGGTTCCATTAAGCCAGCTGGGCTCATACCAACTGGCCCACCTTTTGCCCTTCGGTCTTTTTTCCTGGCTTCCAGCAGTGCCAATTTGGACAGCCTGAAAAGACGGCTGTACAAATTCATTAGCAAGGAAGTCACGGGTGGCTACCAGCCTAAGGTTGCCAGACGTCCCTGCGGACAGTCCCCGGATTTACAAATCAGTCCCCATACAAAATCTATTGAAGTTGAAAAGTGTCCCAGATTCATTGAAAAAAGTCTGTTAACCTTAGACCAGCCACGATGGCTCTGCCTGACTGCAATGTCAGAAATCGTTCCAAATGCCAGTTTTGGGAAACCACAGGAGGGGAGAGTTGCTCCTGTGCTCGGATCCTGCTCGCTGGCATCTGGTCAGCTTCTGTGAGAACAGGATGCTGCGTGAGATGAGCCACTGGCCTGATCCAGCCAGCCCTTCCTATGCGCTCATCTTCCCCTCTTCCAGCCATCAGACTGCCCAGAGCCTTGGCGACATCTTTTGTAGCAGTGATTTCCATAACATACAGCATGAAGGATGCTGGAGCCAAGAAGATGTGCCAAGAGCTGACGGATCTATGATCTCAGACTGGGCTCTGCCAAGGATGTTCTAGCTCTGAGATCCGGTACGGAGCAGTGGGTTGGACTGCATGGATTTAAAAGAGGATTGGGCAAATTCAGGCAAGAGAGGGCTACTTGCCAGCATCTGACGTTGGATCTGCTCCCCCAAGGAATAGCCCCACTGAT